TCATTCTTCTTCTTCTTCTTCTTCTTAGCAGTTATTAGCGGTGGGTGTGCAGAAAGAAAGACATGGACATGGTACGGTTCACGCAGCACTGCTTTGAATTTTTTGGCACCAATGCTATGACCTATGACTACGAGAGGTGGGCGTAAAGACTCCACCTTTGCTTTTTTCTGCTTCGTCAAAGTTTATCCCAATGGACTTGTCAATGAAAGTAACAAGAGACATTTGTTAATCAACTAATGCACCATATTATTAAATTAAACCAGTCATTCCAATTTGGTTTCTCGAGAATTAGGATTTTATCTCTATCAATTGAGACCTTCCAAAAAATATCTTTGTCAATTGAGACCTTCTTATCCATGTGGTCCTTAGTTTTACCATTCAATATTCAAAATTTACAGGTTTTTCCATCGTTTTAGCTTTTTAAGCAACGATGATGTGATGGATTACCTTGTGTGGATTAGATGAAAATTTCAAAGGGCAAATTTGAGAGAGAGAAACTAGCAATTACTGTTACATAATTTTGAAGTGTAAATCTTATATACACTGACAATATACATACTATCACCATTTGATTCATGACATGCATGCAAAAAGTTGAATTTCAAATTAAAACTTTGCATAGTTATCATTCATCAAACGCTGATAATGTATACACTGTCAGTGTAGTAAAGATTAATCCAATTTTGAATAGTGTGATATTGACCGTAGAAATTTAGCCAATTATATTGCGGCAACTCCAATTAGCTACCTTAAAACACATTAAAAGATAGTTAGAACTCTAATTGGCAGCTGAGTTGGAAAATATACTCAAAACAAAAATTCGAGATTGAAAAAAGAAATTTGTCAAATACTCGATTGACATAGTAGTAAATATTGAAGGGCTAAGCTGCAATTAACTGTCAATACAAGTAGAGGCAAGGCGAGTGGTGGTGAGACACTTTATTGTGACGCGTGGCAAACCTCAAGCGGCAGAGACTTGTGGAATTGTAGGATACGAATTTTAGTAGCGTAATAAATTTCCCGTCTGTTTTAGAAAACAATTGACGCTGATCCATTCCTTTTACTTTCTCTTTTGGACTTTGGCCCTCGGAGTTTTTCCAACTCATTGAATGTTTCATGAAAAGGACTTTTATATTTCCGAAGACAACAGTCTTAAATTCAACAACAGTATAAGGGCAACAACAAATTCTAAATCGACATGGAAAGTACGGGTCAAAAAAAATCCATGATAAAAATTACTTCAGGGGAAAAAGTCCGAATAAAATTGATAATCGAAACTCTTCTAGGTTTTTTCTTTGAGTGGGAACGATAACTACATCTTATTCTAAGCCTTCGCGATTTTCCACATTGCCGAGATGTTGGCAAACTAAACCAAGTTTAGAAATATTTATTTATTAGTTTTATTGGAGTTAGATTTTTAGTAGTTGTGAGATTTAGGAATTTGTGTTTTATTTGGTAATTTCATATGCATGTGATTTCTTTTTCAACAAGTCTGGTCGGTTATAAACAGGACATTTGTTTAGTTTAGACTATTTTCTAAAGAGACAGTCTATAAAAGTTTGTTAAATTTTCTATAGTGGAGTGACTTTAATATTGTGAATTAATTATTTATTTTTAATGTCTGTTTTATCCCTTCAATTCTGTAACTCTGCACGCATTGATTATTATTAAAACCCTAAAATTTGGGTTCTACACTAGATATTTAGCATTAAGATGTTTTTTTTTTTTTTTTCCTTTTAAGCCTCTAACTATATGCTTACGTTGCTATTGAGGCGTTACAAGTGACTTTTCAAAGGCCAAAAAACAGTAAAAAAAAAATCGCAACCAAGTGGTCTAAATTAAACATGATTAAAAGTTAGTTAGCCTTAACAAGCCCATGCATGGCAGGTAAAAAGTCATGACAGAGTGTGAAGTCTTGGACTCTTTCAGATGCACCTAGCATTGAGTTGACACGAGAGAATTCTTTCAAAACCCATTATTAATATTGCAGTGACAACTACAATACTATAGCACTTATACTTTATTTAGAAAGTTAATAAAAAGGGTGGAGAAGCAAACTACCGATTCGAACACTCGTTTCAATGAATAATCAAAGACTTATTTTAGAAGTCTAAAATCACCTAGGTGCCAAAAAAAAAAAGAAAAAAAAGGAATGCCAGGAGGCTTGGATATGAATTTAATGACAACGCAAAACCACATATATCTGAGTCCTAATGATGTACAGAAGTAAGCCAGCACATATGTTGGACCATATCCATCATGTTTCATATAGCTATTTCGTACATGGGATTCATACCATTAATATATTACGTGATTGTAGACAATCTTCTACTAATTAATTTGCTTGGTCCTGTATATTAGCTATATATGGATGTTTGAATGCGTCACGCGTCCACATCTATGGATGTTAATCCTTATGCTATTGGACATGATGAATAGCATTTTTGTATCAGTTGCATTATATATGCACCACATCTAAATTTTAATTTTGATTAGGGTTTGTCTCTGAGAACTAATTGCAGATTCATTATAAAGCTCGAGTTGGACTGGTCAGGTTGGTAAAAATTGCTTTCCACAGTATATAACTGAATCGCAAATATGTGGTCCGACTGACTACTTATCCAACCTCTACTTTCATTAAGCAAAACTCAAAACTGTGTTTTTTTCCCTTCCCGTACTCTCTCCCGAGGGCGATAATACGCAATATGTATGTTCTGTACATTCTAGGTTATACATATATATATATCAGCTTTTACTAACATGTTTAAAATATCTTCAACAGCATCTTTTTTCTTTGGAATAGTTTTTTCTATTTGGTGGCTTAAAGCAAATGATAAGCACCATACCAAAGAACAAAAAAGAAAAGAAGAGGGCTCCATTAAAGTTTTAAATTTATCATTATAGAAAAAAAAATAACACGAGACTCATTTCTTATTCGGGCACCAAATAGATGGGCATTTCAAATTTATATGGCTACAAATATAACGTTGGAGGCTCAAAAAAAAAACAAGATTTTAACATTGGAGTATTGTAGTAGTTAAACTCTATAACGTAGCATATTAATGGGTAAGGTTTAGATTAGACCCCTTTGATCCAAATTCAGATCCATTAAATTTAGCTATTCGGACCCAAACCCTTATGGATCTGAAAAAAGTAAATTCAAATCCAAATCCTCATAGGTTTGGGTATCAAATAGGCATCTGTGAATATTTTTCTGAATATACAATAAAGAACTGAAGTAAAAATATTTTGAAAATATTTAGAGTTCAAATATAATATAAACACCGTCCAATTTTTATTTTCAAATAATAAAAATTAACATTCAAGATTTTGAATGCAATATTATAAACTGAAGTAAAGAACTATTATCAATCATAACTATTTATTTTCAAAGCATCGTCTACATTTACGTTCAATCTTTCATTTATTTGCATCAATTACAATGACATAGAATATTCTATTATTTTATAAATTTATTGATATATATATATATATATAATTCATTTATACATGAATTTGGATAGGATCTAGTATGTATTTGGGATTGAGTCTGAATCATAAAAAATCAGATCCTTTTCATATCCATAATTATCTTATAGGTTTTAAGTCTGGATAAGGTTTGAGTTCGACAAATTAAATCTAAACTTTATCCAAATATATTAAGTCTAAATTGAATTTGAATAAAACTCGATCCACTGGCGTGCCTAGTTTGACCAAATAATATCCTTGTCAAAGGCGAATATGCTGTACGTTCCTAAAGTTGGCCTGCTTTATCTTTCTATGATAGGTCGGTTTGGTCTGCAATTGTCAATGGTAGGAGCAAGCACCGTTTAGTAGGGTTGGAAGGTTCAAGCAGTGAACAATAACATAGATAGACGGAGATTTTACCTTCAACATCAGAAGGTGCAGTATGGACACGTGCATTTTCTCAGTGGTATAGACGCTCATCACCAACATCATTCAGCAGCTCATCACCACACCATTCAGCAGCTCGCCCGGTCCACCACTCACTATCAATCCCTCTGCTCCATTCCAATTTTACATATGACTGTTGCTGTGGAACTCGGATTTCCCCAACGCCTTTATTCATCGGACTAATTTGCGCTGTAAAATACTCGCAAAATTTTAATGATCAATGCTCAGTTTTCCTTCTTGTTTGGTGTTTGAGGAGGAAAGGGAACACGTAGTTGCCTTTCTGGTACCCCATTACAAACATTGTCATGTGAAGTCCACGCCTCATTTGTTTGGAGAATTATGAGTTACAACTTCCATATACCATCCCCTTTACGTTTTATTTTTCAATTTCTTTGTAATTACGGGTGCAGATACATGTGCCTACACAAGATCCAATTTGAGGGTGCTTCAAAAGTTTCAATCTCAATATCAAAGAAAGAATCATTAGCTTGTTTGTTTTAGAGGTTCTATGTACAATTCTCCCGTTCTTCCCTTCCAACCTCATAATAATCAAGATGTGTTGAGAAAGAAGAAAAGAAATTCACCTCTTAACTTAATTGTTTCAGAGAATCTGCACGAATACTCATCAATATTAATCAATGATAAAGAAGCAATAAGAAAACTAATTCAGAAATACAAAAACAATTTCATTTATAACTTGGGTAGAAGTGGTGCTAGTAAATTTTAATGGGAGAACTGAAAAAATGGAGGGCGGGTAGGGGGTCCCAAGCCACGAGGACAAACCAACCCTCCCATTTTTGAAGCTCTTGCCTTTTGGTTGAAAACGACACCATTTCCAAGCTTGAGTTGAATGTTTCAATTCTGCCAGGTGTAGAACAATAAGTGGACGACGTATATGGATGGCATATAGTATAAATAAAATTAAAAAGAGAGCAGTATCTTTTTTTTTTTTTTTGTCGCAACGATAGATGTCCTATAACCTACTCTAGTCTAATCTAGGGGAAGGGGCAAGGGGAATGGTCATCTAAGACCAACCACATATTGTGGCAAATTTTTGTGGGAGGCAAGGGTTGAACCCCTGACCTCCAACATCACCATTAAGGTGATGACCACTGGACCAAATGGCCGGTGGCCGAGCAGTATCTGGATACACTATAAAACAAGACTCTGGCTAGTAGGCTAGTAGCAAGTTCCGTAGTCCCCCATACCATCCCTTCATTCTCTACATTCATTCCATAATTCCTTCCGATACCTCCCTTACTTTTCGGCTGCGGTGTTGTCAAAAGGAGAAAACTTGCTGACTTGCTCTAACACCCACATATGCCCATTCCCAACTCAATCCCATGATCCCATCCCCACACAGAGTCCACACACACCAATAACGTCTCCTGCTCCTGGTCCAAAACCAAACCCCCAACCCAATCGAGCCAACTCTCAACATATATCTTTTTCGGCGTCCACAATCTACATCCATCTTCGTCTCTCTTTGATCACACGAACTTAGATAGGGGTCCTCAGAAAGTACCACAGGCTTGTGTTTGAAGCATCCAAACAGGAAAAAAAAAAACTGCGAGATTTTCTTTATGGAAAACAACCACCAATCCCAACCTCTGCAGCCCACCAAAGCCTCCAGATTCAAGCGCGTATGTGTTTTTTGTGGCAGCAGTCCTGGCAAGAATCCCAGTTACCAGCTGGCTGCTATTCAGCTCGCCAATCAGCTGGTATGTATATATATATATATACACACGCACACACAAACATATCTTTGCTTTGCTTTGCTTAATTTGCCATGTCTTCATCGGCATATTATGCGCAGCTACGTACTCGGGCGGCTCGCATACATATGCATCCTATAACCACAACTCTTCTGCTTATTCTTGACATGATTAATGTTACTACTTACTTTGATCAGTTGTTTTGTTCAACTCATTTGTTGCTCATTTTCAGTTGTTCTCTCCCTAGCTATTCTTCACCTTCACCTACTTAAACGTTACTAATGAAACGAACCTCAACTTCCCCCCTATGCTATATCATCCTGACTTCATTCAAAAGCTACTAACTTGCTGCTTAAGCCTATAATTCTTGGGGCGTACTTCTATCAGGGGATGTTGTCCTTTTAGTTTTTTTTTTTCCTCTTTTGTTGTTGGAATTTATACCACGAGACGAGATGATGTCTCCTGTGTGACGACTCTAGGCTGGATCGGTTGGTAGCATGGGATTAAAATACGAGCATAGATAATTGGGAAAAATGAAATGTTATTATCAGCAAGATTAACGTGAAGCATTACATTATTATTTATGTGGTCGATTGAAATTAATTTGCGTGTTCATGCAAGTAATGCAAAAAAATTATCAGCAGAAGTAGCAGTACTCAAAAATTTAATAATATTGGCAGGTTGAAAGGAACATTGACCTTGTTTATGGAGGTGGAAGCATTGGGTTGATGGGATTAGTCTCCCAAGCTGTCTTCAATGGTGGCCGCCACGTGTTAGGGTAAATCCGTCTCGATTTCCTCCTCAATTCCTTCTCTCTTTCATTCTTTCTTCTTCCTGCTGTTCTTCTGGTGAACTAATAAAATTTTCTATTTTTTTTTCCCACAGGGTGATTCCCATAACGCTTATGCCCAGAGAGGTAATTGGAGCTGTTACCTTCCGATAGTAACGAACTTGGGTACATTTTGGTGTCCAAATTCATGTGTACATTTTGGGCACCTTTTTTTTTTTTTCTTTTTTTAAAAATTTTTTTTATGTGTATCTTGCACTTTGGATAATAATGAGTCATGCATTATCGCTTAACATTTATCGGTCGGTTAGGATTAGCTTTTGGCCTGTCATCTTCTGATTTTCGACACGAGTCGGTCAAAGTGATCGTACTCCTATGATTAGAATTGATTGCTATGCTGATCAATATATATATATATATTGTTCTTTCTTCTTTTTACACAAGATTTCTTGGAATATCTTCAGTTCTTTTCAAGCTACATAACTTTTATTTCAACCTTTTACGTTTCCATGATTGCTTTTAAAAAGAAAAGAATAATAAAAAAAAAAAACGTAGAAAGGAGAGGTAGCATGCATAATTGGCTAACGTACGGGTCCAACGCATTAATTCAGATAACTGGAGAGACTGTTGGAGAAGTGAGGCCTGTGACTGGAATGCACCAAAGAAAAGCTGAAATGGCTCGACTGGCAGACGCATTTATAGCCTTACCTGGTAATTAATTTAATTAATTAATTAATTATCCCTCTTCTTTTCTTCTCTCTCTCTATATATATACACACATATATATATATATATATATAAATGGATAGTATATGCATCGTTCATCTTCTGGTGTGGTTTTACCACAATCATCATCGTATGTTGTTGAACTTGTGGAAATTTTATTTTGATGAAGAAGTATATATATATATATATATATATATATTATAGTAGCTCTGAAGTCTGAACTAATTGTGTGTTGCCCAATGTTTTTAAACTCGGACCGGTCAGTGAACCGGAGAGGTGGCCGGTTCGCGGTTCGACCGGTCCGACCGGTCCAACCGGCCGGTTCAAAGGTTTACTGTTTTTTTTAAGTGTTAAGTACTAAGCATGTTTCATTCTATACTTGAACTTTACCAACATAACTTAATTTAAGTTATGATAATAATAAATTTTCTAAAAGTTATACATAAAACATGGAATGATAAATATAATTAAAATATCATAATTCACCATAAGTTTTCATAAATTCATTATAAACATAAATAGATACAATCCAAATGTGCGCCAATTATCACAAATAAAAACACAAAAAATAAATAAATAAAATATTAAAATTCTTTTACAACCCTTAAAAAAATCCATAAAAGAGTTCAAGTTAAAACAAACTATTTGAATAGCAAACTTTTATCAGTGGCATGATAAGCAACCACACCACCTTCACAATTTCATCAACTTAAGCTGAAAAAGTAAAATTTTATTATAAAAATATAAATCTAATTGCTTAAACTAAAAAAAACTAAAAATTTTTGAAAAACAAATATACAGTTAAACACATAAAAAATTAATTGCTACTAAACATTACTAATTAACATGTTATATTAAATTCAATGATCCTATACAATTAATTATTTTAAATTCAATTATCAATAGCTTCGATTATGTGCCAACTACCATATTTTTGACCAGCCCAATGTTATTATTTGTAATTCCTACCCAATTCCTACACGGATGTGCACTACTTTTGCAAAAATTTCATCCTTAATTAATCGAATAAAAATAAAACAAAAATGAGGGAAACATATGAAAATTGAGGGGAAAAAGAAGAAAATGCAAAAAATCAACTAAAGATAATAATATAGAAAAAAAACCTTGAAAAGAAAAAAATTAAACTTACTAAGATGTTGGAAAACAAGAAAAGTTGAAATTTTCAACTTGTTTACAATTTGCTAAAGATAATAACCTGATAATAATGGTGAAGACTTGAGAAAATCTTGTTGTGGATATTTGGGTTAAAAATGGTTAAGAAGAAAAAATTGAAAAAAAAATAAGAGAAGAACTTGATGTTTTAATATATTTTTTAGTCAAGTAGAATTCTCAACAAACTTAACTACAGTCTAGCGGTGAAATTGTCATATCCAAACTTGAAGACCCAGGTTCGAATCTTAGCTACACCATTCTTGATATTTTGTTGAAGAATTTAAAAAACCGCCGGTTCACGGTTCTTAACGGTTCGCACGGTTCGTCCGGTTCGGCCGGGTTTCAACGGTTCTCCATGAACTTCCGGCTTTAGCATTAGACCGGACCGGTGACATGGCCGGTTCGCGGTCCAACCGGTCGAACCGGCCGGTCCGGTCCGGTTCTGAAAACATTGGTGTTGCCCGTATTACTTTACTTGCTTGGTGTGCGTGAGAGTGAGCGTAAGCGTAACTGCATCCATGTGGCCGCTAGTGTGTGGCAGGGACCAAAAAATTGATGTGGGAGCACGAACGACGTTGTTATCACTATCAGAGAGAGAGAGAGAGTCTTTAGTTGCTTTTCCTAACAGTTTCTGGAATTGACACTAGACAATCCATACCACATTTGTAGAAGCGATCAAAATCTCTCCATCAATAACTGTGCACCCAACCAAACCACAAATGGGGAAACAGCTAATGGGCTATGGCGACTCCAATATTACACTTTAAAATTGTCGTTTTGCCAACTCCCAGTCTTTTACTGCGCATGCAGGTGGCTACGGCACCTTGGAGGAGCTCCTAGAAGTTATCACTTGGGCTCAGCTGGGGATCCATGACAAACCGGTATTTACAATTACGTTTAACGAGGAGGAGTGGACGGCTTCATTTTTATTTTTGATTCGATAAATTTATTTAAATGGAATAAAAAAAAAAAAACGGGTTTTGGATTGTTACTGATGATGGTTTAAAATGTGTACCACTTACTTACTGTTCAGGTAGGTTTGCTGAATGTGGAGGGGTATTATAATTCCCTTTTGTCTTTCATAGACAAAGCTGTGGATGAGGGCTTCATTAGTCCCTCTGCTCGTCATATAATCGTTTCTGCCCAAACTGCTCATGAGCTCATGTCCAAGCTTGAGGTACATCCCGTGTAACGCGTAGTACTACTTCTTGTCATCTCTTCCAGCAAAAGCTACTGGCCTAGTACCTCTTATATCCCATTAGATTCGGGACGCTCATGACTGACTGATGACATGCTCAATCAAGCAGGAGTATGTTCCAAAGCATAACGGGGTTGCTTCCAAGCTAAGCTGGGAGATGGAGCAGCAATTGGTATACACAACAAAATCGGACATTGCTCGTTGACAGTCTCCGTCGGGTTGAAGGGGTAATTTTAACTCAAATGTCAAGTCTTTATTTGACCGTACATACGATACGAATGATCATCCACAAGAGTGGCAGAGTCAACAGGGAACATTTTACTCCTGCAGAGTCCAGAGCAGCAGCGCTGGGGACGATAGATAGTACATACGGTTAATTGTAGCATTTGAGGCCACGGTTGTTTTGTGGTATCATATTGTGGATCAGTAGGAGAGGTTTTTATTCAATTTCGTCTCCTTCTTTTCTGATTGATTTGAAATGTTAGCACTAACCTGGTAAAAAAGGGGAAATTCTCTTCTAAGTTTCTCAATAACAGGACTGTGTTTTTGTTTGGAGAATTGATTGGTAGTGCTCTGTATGTTTGACTACTTTACTCGATGCAAATCATCCTCTTTCTACTTTGGGTTGCCTTTGTAGGCTGAACACTCTGCATCTCTAATTCGGTTGACGACAATTTGAATCCATAGATCGATGCTAAACGCGATCATCCAAACATTTATTTGACCTAAGTTTTAGGTTTCATATTGTTTTTTTTTTTTCCTGCAGGAGGTGAAGGGTAAATTCTAGGAAGAAAGTGGAGAGGAGAATGGAAGATTTGAATATGAGACCCTCGCGTCCCTTTGTGATATTTAATATGGTATTTTTTTTTCACCCTCTTCTCACTCTTCACGTCCTTTCCTCATCATGGTCAATCACTGAATCTGACTTTAGTGATTTTTTTCTTTTTTAAATTTTTCAGCAAGATGTGTAGGGCTTAAGAAGTTAGGAGGAGGAGAGGAGATCTGAACCCAGGTCCTCGCTCGTTTAATCCTATCCTATGACGTAAAGTGGTTAAATCATACATAGACCTGACTAGGGTACGCTCTAACTTTGACCAAACTTTACGGAGAATTTTTGTAATTATCCCGACAGTAAATTACTGTGTGCGTAATTATTCTCATCTGTGCATGTCAAAATTTGGACAGTAGTGCATTATTGATGAGTGAATAGATAGATAATTCTCCATGAATGGATAAGACAGAGGAGCGAAATCTTTGCCCAAAGAGTACACTACCATCTTTAATTTGCCAGACCAAAATGGGACCTTACGCTTACAGTACGGCTAGCGCCCGTGTGTGCCAGGCACCATCAGCAATGGAGCAGGTACCATTCAAGTTTGATACTACAATGAATGCGATTGTTGTAGTAGTATTCACTAATGGGATTAGAGCATGTATGATTGAAGTTCATGTATTTTTTGAAGTTCAACAAAGCAGTCATCTGAATGTGGCATACTATACAAACCGGGAACTTGGCAGCATATATTCCCTGAATAAGCTATAGGATAATACAATAGCTTCCCCTAAATCCACCTATAAACCTATGTGAAAGACTGCACCACTGAAGATGTGGTAACCAAACCAGAAAGAAGGGCAACAATAACGGCACTGTTGTATGTGCTTGGTTCGGCTTGCATTGAATTGTTTCTTGAATCAATATAGGTCTCGTTCAGAAAAGGTCCACCAACAAGTGCTCCAGCCGCAACATTTGGATTTGGTTTATCAGAGTCAAGCCACTGAAAACCATCCTTGCAGCCAGTTTTTGCGTCCATAGGAATTGAGGCCCCTCTATGGTGCACAAATTTTGGGTAGTTATCACCATAACCCACAAGATAACTCAGCTTTGCAGGGTTGTTACCCAAGACATAGTCAGCCTACAAACAGAGCCGGAAAATCACTCGCACACTTAGGTACTAGGGCATGTAAGAGAACACATGAAGGAAGATGCTCATTCGTTGCATGCTGATGCAAGAAGCAAATGTTTTATATGTATAGATGATGAAAACAGAAAGTGTACCTGTGACGTTGCAAACTTGCGTAGATCGGCTGGCGTAAAAGAATCGCTGTCGCAGGATATTTCAGCTGTCCTAGATGATAACATGTAATCACTGTATACAACAGCTAGAAATGCAGATGCCACAGGATGCTGCAAAGCATTCCATTCACTGATCCATATTAGGCCACCTGCATTATAAAACTTTGAGGGTGAGCAATAACAGAATTTTAAGTTCTAATCTGCTCAGTTCACATACATTGAGGTCGCTCACCCAAAATGCACTAGCCTTTTTTATTTACGATGAGCGTATATAGCAATTTTTAGTTGTTTGAAGATTGCAATTAAGATTAATTACTCTATTGATGTCTCCGTTTGATACACACATTTTATCTAAAGAGTTGGTGAGGGAGAGATAACTACATCTCTCGCAAATGCAACCCTTCCTTAGAAGGGCTAGAGGTGAGCAAGAGTCTATATAGGTGTATCTCCATGTACACGTATGAAAGATGTCTTCTAGCACATTTAGGAATGTTGAAAAAAATAAAGAAGAAGAGAAGCATAATTATCCAAGTCAAAAGGCAATCAAATGAAGATTACTGTCTGTTCTGCTGGATGTGGCCGTTGGAGATTTTGGAAGGAGGCCACACATGACAGCCTCTGCCGAATCCCTGTACTTCTGGAGGGTAGCAGAATTTGAAGTATCTTTTGATCCAAAGAAGCTAATCCTGGATAACAAGACCTGCGGTAAAGGCACACAGCAACTTCATTAATTCATGATTTGTATCCAAAATGTATTCACATTCCCTTACCCCCTTACCACACTACCAGCTCCAACCGCCCTTCTGCCCAAAAAATAAAAAATAACAAGAAAAGAAAGCTAAAAGGCCAACCAAAAAGAACTCTACTTTGATTAGTGGCCCCTTTATATTTGTACACCATTTTCACACCATTGTTAGTGTACATATGGTTGGTGGGAGAGAACTAATAAGCTAGACAATCAGGCTGAAATAGCTCATCTCATGGCAAACCTAACAAACTTCTGCAATAAGAGAACACAATTAAGTGTTGATCTTCTGTATCTAAATGAAATATAAAGAAAAAAATTTTGAGCATCAGTCATAGATCTCTTAGATCCATAATTTCAATCACTAAGATCAGTTTGAGTGCTATACTAGGGAAAGCTCAGCCTTTTTGTCATGAGCTCCTAATGATGAAGTTATACAGGACAATTTTGGTATTACATCTATCCGTGAATTCAGTCGAACAATTGTAGTCTTAGCCTTGTCATATCCAAATTACAATGAGAAGGAGAATCAAGAACACATGTAAACTTGGTAGACTGAATTCTGATGTTCTTCAATGTGTCCAGCGATAACCAATTAAAGAATTTAAATCCGGACTCTGAAAGAATGAAGAAATACCTGAGTACCAGCTAGCTTGTTATCCCAACTAAACCAGGTAGGACTTCCCCAGTTAGCATACTCTTCACCATTTTTTCCAGTCACATAATCAAAGTATGATTTGTCCTTTGTAGCATGATAAAGCCAACTAGCAGCCCACAAGAGCTCATCTCCATAGCCTGTTGAGTTGTAATATGTCTGGACTTCAGGAATGCTCATGCTGTAAGAACCTCTATATTTGTCAGCAAAAGTAAATAGTTGCTTCGCATGCTTCAGAAGCAAGTCTGAATATGTAGAGTCAATGGGCTTAAACACCAGGGATGCTGATGCCATAGCTGCTGCAGTTTCTGCTGCGACATCACTTCCCGGGAAAGAAGTGTTAACCTGTATGAGAGGCCTTTTCTCAGTCATGTCTTCTGGGCGGTCCCAACATTTATGGTCTGCATCAGGGTCACCCACCTGCCAAAAATTCAATTATGCAAAGAAGCACAATGTAAATGTTTGTTTTGACAAGTTTGAAGAGAAATTTAACGTTCAGAAGGTGGGTTGCTCAAACTCAATCTCTATAATTTTTTATCCGTGGAAATGCAGCATTCCATCTTGTATAAGAATCTACAAGAAATGCATTTCTTGTATAAGAAATGCAGCATTCCATCTTGTACCATGAGAACATCTTGATCACCTAAAGGATATGTTTTTAATTTCTTCAGATCTTTTTATTTGCATCTTAAAAATAACAAAAATTAGTGTAAGCCGAACAGAAATCAATGTTTTATACAGCACAATTTTGGGATGAAAAATAAAGCAGATAAACACTGCAAATAAGCATGAGTACCACAAAGGTAAGAGTGATGAAAGCAAGCAGCCAAAAACGAAGCAAGAAAAAACCAACCTGAATGATTAGAACATTGTCAGAAAGATGAGCATTGACAAGGTAGTCCGTGATCCATCTGAGTGAGTCTTGAGCAGGTTCCAATTGATTTACCACCTTCATCTGATCACCGTATTCAAGGATACTCCATGACAACACTGTGGCTGTGTAAGCCATTGGGAATCCAAACTTCATATGGTCCCCAGCATCATACATTCCTTTGGAAAGATCGACTTTTGCGGGACTTCCATCATCAAGAGCCGAATCCCCTCTCCAAGGTATCTTGTTATGAACCAACTTCCCCGCTGCAGAACACAATTACACTTCACCATCAGCAAAAACCATCACGGTAACAGTAAACAAAATAATCGAACTGAAGCTTCTTCATGAAGCTGCTTACTGGATCTGGAATTCAGAAAATCTGATTCCTTCGAGTCTAACAACAAAGTACTCACATAAAATATTACTAGAATTGCCGTGGTAACTCTAGCTAAGTCATTCTAGAACATTATTAAATTGCTAATACGTAGACGGATTACTAATACTGTAACAGATAAGATGCATTTACTGCTCCTAGTACATTCTGTTTCAAAATAATTAATCCACAGTTAAGGCATAAATTAATTATTCGACCCACAGCACCGACAAAATTGAACCTTTACCAAGGCAGTACAAAAAATTACTGCTAAGTACTCTTAGGTTGAGAGCTAAGCTAACACACGGGAACTTTTGTGATTTAATAATCGAATAAAAATATTCAGGTTCACTGGTAAGATCTAGTATCCGGAGAATCAAACAAACAACTAAGAAATGCATAAAATCATTCCAAGCATGATATCAAGATCTAGCAACCAAAAAACAGGAAGAACTAGATAAGAAGCTAAGAAACTACATGGATTTAGCTCAATTAAAGCAAATGAAGTTTTAAAACAACATCAGCAAACGTGGATGTAGATACTTGAAAGACGCAGACGAAGAAAAGAAAAAATGCTGTGGTTGTGGAGGGATTCTTTTATACATTTTTGTACGTCTAAGAACTGCATTGCGGCATGGAGAGCGTCAGCATACTTCTTGGTAACAGCACCGGGAGGCCCCGGAACAGGGGCTGCCTCTCCCTTTGAGGCATGGTGCTTCTTCTTGATCGTTACAAAAATTCCAAATGCAATTGCAGCTGCTACAATTAAAACAAGCAACCAACCGCACCAACCCCCTTTCGACCTTGACTTCTCCCCCATTCTCTATGGAAAAGAATTCGCTTTGGTTTTTTAGGATTTAGTTCCGGTTCAGATCTAATCTGCCAAGAAGAAGAAAAACCTTTGAAAACACGATAAAACTTTGAAAGTTCTGCGGCTTAAGAAGTCATATAGCACCTGGCATTGATCAATGCCAGGGAAACTGGAGCAGATTTCTGCAGGAAATTGCAAAATCTCAATTCCAGGTGCCTCTGTTCTTCTAGTTTGTTCTAATATTTCTTTGCAGCAAAAAGAAGATACTAAATCCGGAGGGAACGATTAATGAACAGGTTTAGAGGAAGAGAGGTTTATCTGGGCAATGTGGTTGGTTTAGTAGCCCATTTGAGGGAGAAAGATAGGTGAGGAGTCCGTTAAAATGGTTGTTTTGGACAGAACAGGGTCACCGACAGTAGACGAGGACGATGTATATGCTTTCTGGCCATTCAGAAGAAAGAGTATCCTTAATAGTATTGGGTCTCCTGATTCTCCGCAGTTAAATGTTGAAGTCAGTCTTGTAACAGGCGTCATAAGATTACGCACGTATCTAAGCTCCATTTCCTTGGGAAAATCTTGCTGTTAAACAAATAATTGGTTATTTTACTGCGACGTCGTATCTTTTCACTTTTCCTTTTTGAGGTTGAATTCGACCAAGAATTGATTTTTTTTTTTTTTTGAGAAAAATGCAGTTTTGGTATCCAAATTCTGATACTTAAGCAGTTTTAATCCACAAACTTTGGACAAAAACAAATATGGTATCCAAACTTTTAATATTTGAGCACATTTAGTACCCTTAATGATTTTTTCCTAAATTGCTACTTGAAAGAGTCACGTGATAATCATATGTTCGGCAAATATTGTATAAAAAAAATGCTAGAAAACGTAAAATATCTTTCTGGCACTAAGGCAAAGATGAAATACAGCAAAAGAAGGAGAAAAGAATAAGATAAGTAGAGTTGGGC